AAACATGGAAGAAACTGGGTTTTCTACAACAGAAATTTTGGAACTCATTAGCTTTTGGTGCTTTCTCATGAAAAGGAAATGCGTAGTATGACACTATTTTTAATTTTTGGCTTAAATTGTCATTTGTATTAGGCTAAAAAGAGCATTTCCTTTTTCCTTCCTCTTCTTTTGTTCTTTATATCCTTCTCTTTCCATTAAGAACATGAAATGGCTTATAAGTATGACCACAAAAGGGAAAATAGGGGCTGGGAATACAGCTCAGTGCTAGAGTGTTTGCCTAGCATGCATGAGGTTCCAGATATCTATCTATCATCTATCTATCTATCTATCTATCTATCTATCTATCTATCTATCTATCTATCTATCTATCTATCTATCAGTTTTGAGGCAGGCTGCCCTATTGGTTGACCTGGGGCTGGAAGCTGTCTGCCTAGTCAACCTGAGGCAGTGCTTGTATAGCTGTGATGTGAGGAGGTCATGAGGGCAGGAGGTGTGAGGGCCAAGGGGATTATGGTGATCCCCATCCTGGTTCCTTCCAGAAAAGGACAGAAATGACTTATCCCTTGAGATCTTAGACCCTAGCACTTCGCTTCCCCTAAGTGGCACGAACCCATATGGAGAATCCAGCAGTATTCTAGGTCCAGGATCTGAATATATCACCATGATACATATTATCATATTTGATCCTCACAAGAACCCTTGGGAGAAAAATATAAGGCTCGCACAACAGAGAACCAGATCCTTCTAAGTATAGAGAAAGAACCCACACTTCCAGATATTTCTTCTTAAAAAAGTTTTCAATTTCCATAAATATAGGATCAGGGAAATGTAGATGTGCAGATTATAGAATCTAATATGGCTATCAAAATACAAACTTGATTTTGAGTTTCCTGGAACCAAAGTAAATTGAGATCTAGTCAGTTACATGTCTTAGATCTTTAATGACCAAGAATGTTAAATGGAAAAAACAAAACAAAACAAAAATCCACACCTTTTAGAGGCATAAATTAGAAATTTGCTGATGGATTTTACAAATCAGGCTATAGATACTACCTTAACAATAACCCCTACAATAGGAAAATAATCCTAAAGAGACTCTAAAAATTTAAGCTTTAATTTAAGACAACTGTTTTATGTGCAAAGGAAATACTTTAAAAAATTGAACATGATAGTTTTCCCTCAGTATGAATCCCTATCCAGGAATAAAGCGGGCTTTTAAGGGAAAGCATATCTGGTTTCTGGGAGAGTCTAATTCACTTTAGAAAGAATAATAAACTTGCTTATCAATGAACAGTGTCTTTTTTTATTCTTGCAAAAATAATTCACTAAACTGAAAAGGGTTACATGCTTATTTTCTAACAGCCACGTGTCCTGTGCTGGGAACTTTGTGAAATATTTTACATGTATTGGGACATTTGATCATCATATTACTGCATTATTACAAATAAATTTAAACACAGCTCAGTTGACTGGTTGTTTTTGCCCAGAACAAGAAAGGATGAACTGGGATTTGAACCCAAATCATTTAACTTCTGAGACCAGGCTCCTTCCACTGCTCTTAGTGTTTCTCTAAGTATTCATTGTCAAAGAAAAACTGGTAAGGAAAGAAGAGAGTTCACCACAGCTTACAAAACAGCACAGTACTCAAGGAAGAAAACAGGTTTTTTTTTTTTTTAAACATTAAAAAGGTAATAATCAGCTAATGATGATCCTTTTTTTTTACTTTTTAAAATTTTATGTGTATGAGTTTTGTGTGCATGTAGGTAAGTGCATCACGTGCATGCAATGCCTGCAGAGGCCAGAAGAGGGTGTTTGGATCCCCTGGAACTAGAGTTACAGATGGTTGTTGGCCCCCATGTGGGTGCTGGGAATCCAGGTCTTCTGCAAGAGCAGCCAGTGCTCTTAACTGTCGAACCATCTCTCCAGCCCCAATTCCAAATTTTTAATTATCTCTATGATACATTAGTAGGCAGGTTTAGTGACCTTGTTCAGCACTCTAGAGCCAGACTTCCTGTGCTTATTAGGCAATGTGGTCCAATGAAAACTCAAGAGTTTGGAGATGAGCAGCTGAAATTTAAAGCCCATACTGACATTAATAGTTGTGTGACTTCATTTAATCTCTTCAAGACTTTTCTTTCACTCTTTTATTTTTCAGTAGAAGGAATATATGTGTCTTGTGAAGTTCTGAGATAATCAAAAGTACATGTTATGGTTGTTTCAGTGATTGGATACTAAAGAGACACTATCTATAAATGATGAGTCTGCTGGATATAATGAAACTTCAGCCCTCAATTATATCTAACACACTGGTGAGCACTGTAAGGAAACAGGATGCATAAACAGCATCTCTGCTTTCAAGAACTTTACAGCCCTCAAAGAAGGTAAATGAAGTTATGGTTTCAGGTAAAGCAGTAATAGATGGGTCATGTATGTCAGCTGAGGCACACTGCAGGTCTTGAATACCAGGAGGCAGAGTTCACTCTCAACTTGGGAAGCAATATTCTGTAAGAAAAGTGAAGAAAACATTCAGAATTTTTATTTAGGAAGTTTAATTAAGTGAAGAGAGTAGTGGTAGGGAATCTGGCTTGTGATATGGCCAATTGTGAAAAGAGCATGAATTTGACCTTGCTTTTCCAAGGTTGTTGGAATAAGTGAGTTGGCCCTATGGTTTTCCTTGTGATGTTGGAAAAGGATGGCCGAGGTAGTTTTGTGTGGATGTGGAAAAGGGAGAAGTTGGCTGATTTCTTTAGGGACAAATTACCCTCAGAGAGATCAGAGCCCCCAACTAAGGCATATAGGTTTCTTGGGTTCAAGTCTCATTGTATGGTTCAAAGAGCAAAGAAAAGGGTTAGACCCAATTCCTAGTCTCTTGTGCCTAGTCTCATCAAAATAGCATTCTGATGAAATATCTCATTAAGTACCCATGCCTATTACTGGTTTAGTAACTCCAATTACCTAAAATAGTCCATGTAGGATTATCAGTAATTTTAGGATTTTATCATTAATCTTTAACATATATGAAACAAAAATAGAATTTCTATTGAATGCTAATGTGTCATTAATTTGAAGAGTTCCTGTGACTAAGTTAAAAATATCCTAGTAACATGTAATTTTTGTTGGTGAAGCTATATGTATTTGACAGTGGGTAAAGGATGGTGTTAAACCTTGGGAGTGTGATTTAGTAAATAAGCAGAGGTAACATAAAAGCACATAGGCAACATACGTGAGCCCGTTCAGCAGTGTCAGGACATGCAAGTGTCCCTAAATAACAGGTGTCATCTTCAAATCCATTTAAATATATTCTCTTTTCTAATTTATGCTGGCTAAAGTAACTCATATTTTGAACACAAAACAATTTTATGTTAAAATAAACTGTGATAATGTACTGTAAGTCTGCAGAGTCATCTAAGTTCATGAAGTCAAACAACTCTCTCATCTGAAGGATGATGTATACAACAAAGCAGCTTTTAAGTGAGATGAAGCCTTAACTCATTAGCTTCAATTACATTCATAATACTGTATCTATTAAAGGATGGAGGTGTACAGAAAGTATACTTACTTGTTTTTGGAAAGTTCTTAGCAAGCAAGTTCAAAGGTTTCTTCTTAGGCTCATAGAAATAACTGCAAAATTCCTTTTTCTAAGTATGCTGATTAATCAAGGCTTAACTAGTCTTAAAGATTTCTTTACAGCTTTTTGGGGGGTAGGGCTAGGGAGTGAGAAGATAGGAAAAAATGTCTTAAGATTATGCTAAAATGTTTTGACTCATGTCATACAACTCTAAAGTAAAACAACTCATTGGTCTTAATTCCCTTAAATGTATGGGTATATCTGTGCATCTATAAATAGATACAGATATAATAGCATGTAAAGTCTACTTACAAAAAAAATCAATGTGATTGGAACACGACATAATTCAAAGGTGACTTGTTCAGACTGATACAGGTAATGCAAATGGTTAACTGGCTCAAGTGGAGGGAAAACATCTTTGTAGCGTAGGTGTTTTTACTTAAGACGGTAGAAATCAGTCATTTGATTCTATTATCTTGGGCAAAGTATTCGGTTGGTGAAAAGAAAAACAATCAAGAAATCAGGGTAGTGTTTGAATTCAACAGTTCACCTGACTGTTCCAAATGGACTCCAATGATGATGGGGCAGTAAATTAGACACATCTTGTTAATATACAATACAGAATTCTGGTATGTGCAAAATAAATTTGTTAGTTGTTAGCTATATGTCCTCTTTTAAAATAATCTTTATATACTTTTCAATATTAATTACTATTTTCACAATCTTCTAATTTATATACAACTACAATCCTGTAATTTATATATAACTACACTATATACCAACACTCTGGAACTCAACAGAGCAGAGACAAATGTCATTTGGGGGCATTACCTTGGGCACAATGCCACTTTAAAGAGAATGGAAGCTTTCTGCAGGTAACATGCCTTCTGTGGTGGACCTCAGTGCACTCCAGTCTCACGGGAAGCTGCACTCTGGAATACCTAGTTATGTCCACTTGCCATGTTGCTGCTGGCTGGAGTGAGTGGGAGGCTCAACAAAGCTCCTTCCCCTGGCTGTGGGGAGCACAAATGTTTCACCTGTGCATTCCTGGGTGGGATGACAGGAGCAGAACACCCTGCCAATGAGAAGTGGGTCTGGGGCATAAGAGGACTAACCTGTGCTATGTAAAACCACTGAAGTTTCAGGGCTGCTACTGCTACACCAGCAGCCTGTCCTTCCTTGCTTGGAAAAGACAGAGTCCAGATCATAGGTTTTTGAAAAAGATACAGAGATGAAATGTGCTGGGTGACACAGTAAAATTTATTTGTCTTTACGACTTACACATAGTAATTAACACAAAAAAGAACAAACACTGTCAAGATGGCCATATGTAGCTTAGGAAATAGCTGGTCCCAGATTCAATTACACAAATATTCATTCAGCTTAGAAATGAGTTTCTTTTTAATGTTTTTAATCCTTTTTTTTCCCGTCCCCAAGGCTTGCACAGTTTAGTACAAATGTTTCTGTTGTTTCGTTATTCTCAGATGCATGATGTTTATCAATTCCCAGGACATAAATGAAATCAACAAAAAGTCCCGTGACACAGGACACATTTTCACAGCATAAATTCAATGTGATTACTGCAGACCTATACAGAAAACAATGTTAGCAAATTATATTTGTCTTCAGGTTTCATCTTTAAAAAAATATTTACTACATTTTTTGTGTGTGTGCAAGAATTCACTCACTGATTTCTTTGGTTTTAAACCTTATAGCTCTATTTGACCTAAATATATATAGTTCTGTTTGTACCAAATATCAAAATAAAGACATTAACATTTCAAAAGGTAAAATGGAATTACTGCTTCAGTGTAAAAACGCCTGCCCACTGGGCACGCTTGCTATTATTGCTTTGTTTCTACTGGAAACTGCCATGGAAATGAAGGAATGTGCCCCACAGGCCCTGCTTAATGCACAATTTGGTTGTGCATTATTGTTACTATGTCCCTACCTTCACCCAAACTATCCCAATCTTGTCTTTAAAAAACAAAAAAGTGAAATAGCATAAATAAATAAGTCTACCTAGGGGATACAATAAATAGGCTTCTCCATAGGAATAAAGAATGTCATAACATAAAGCCCCTCAGTGCCAGTACAATTAAACAACAGCTTTGGATTCTCAAAATCTCCAGACACAGCCTGAATTTTAGATCAGTTTTACTGCTGGTATAATAGCACACAGAAAAAGAAAACACATTTCTATGGTTCTCATCATTTAAAAATGAAAGAGTGGACACAACTGTAAATTCTGCCTTTTAAGAATTTATCTAGGTGTGTCTCATCATTAGTTTTTGACCTTTGCAAAGTTGTAGAGCATAATCTTAGGGATTAAAAAAAATACTATTCCTTCAATTTTTAGTGGTTTCTTGGTCTCCAGAGTAACTATTAAAACAGAGAAGAAATTGGACTCAAAAGTTTTGCTGCCGTCTTTTCTTAGCATCCATTGCATCCAGAATGGGCTGTCTTTTCGCAGCGTATCTTTGACGAAGCTCTTCTATTTCCCGTTCCATCATGGGGTCCAGTGCTTTCAATCGCATCTGTAGTTCTTCTAAACTGAGATTTTTTAACTAGATAGAGAAAAAAACCCATAAAGATATTAATACAGTAAAATTATCTGCAGTATGCTAAAGGCTAGTGGTTTTAGAATAAGTATCTGGAGAAATTCTTTGTCATCTTTGAAGCATGGCTTACTAATGAAAACAGGAATTCCTTCACTGAAGAACCCATAAGCTATACCTTGTAAGACCCTCAAGAAATCTGTAACAGAGCAACCAGCACCTTTGCTGTTAGGGAAGAGTGAATGATGTTTAGAGACTGACAAAGACAAATTTACCCAGGTCCAAAGTGGATGGGCAGGCTTTGCTCCTCAGATAGCTTTCCAATCTCTTGTGTTTTGCCAGATTTGGAGGGCTATAACCACCACCAACACTAACAGAGATCATTGAAGAATTGGGCAAGGCTGAGCATTGGCTTCAATGAACAGTTTCATTCTTTGTTTTAGCAAATGCCCAAAATCTCAGTACTTAATTGAAAATTACATTATCTAGAATACTTCTACCCCGAGTGTTTTTATGATTCAAATAAACCAAATCTGATACAAGTTGAGCTGTGTAAGTTCTGCTTTGAGTGTGGCTAGTTGAAAACAAAATAAATTACCATGAAAAATTTAGAAGATACATTACAGTTGGATTACACAGGCTTTAGGGGACGCAACAGTACATTCCTTACTGCTTGTTGGTGTAACAGGAAAGAGGCATCCTGGCACCTGTGTGGGAATACAATCTGCTCTGTATGTACCAGCAGCTACAGCTTGGCTGTTATTACTTGTGCATCAAAACAGGAAGCTAAGGATTATCTCCTGAGTAGCATGTGTAGGGATGTCATCTGGGGCTATAGAATGCTCTGTACTATACACCTCATACAGTAAACTTTTATCTTTTAGGGTTTTAATACCCTAAAACTAGGCCAGTGAGAGGGCTCAGCAGGTAAAGGTGCCTGTTGCCAAGCTTGATGATAGGAGCTCAACTCCTAGAACCCACATGGTTCCACATGATAGAACCAACTCCTGCAAGTCCCTCATGTAAGCTGTAGCATGTATGCATGCCCCAATAAATAAAATTAAAAACCCCTAAAACTATGTTTTTCTTTAAAAAATCATTTATAGCAATAATGGAGGGCAGGTAATTTTTTAAAAAGAAAAAAAATATAATGAACAGCAATGAATTACAGAATGCTATCATCACATATTCCACACCCAGACCCATCTGGGTAAGTAAAGCGGAAAGCATGTTTCAGGCCCTTCAGAAGCCTAGAGAGGAGTCAGAAGGGTGAGCCCTGAAGGACTAAAGGACCCTGGCCACCCCAGCCCAACCGCATGTTGGAGATTACAGTTAGATGCCCAAGTCCCCTGACAAGCTTCTCATGTAAAATGTGTTAAAATTTTCATGTATGTGTTTCCAGGGGGGATGAGATCTATTGTTTTTCTAAACAGAACTACCCCCCAAAGACAGGTGCCTCACCATAAACTCAAGGGCACTCAGGTAACAAAACCTCCTACTAGGAGTAGAGGCTAGACTGGTCTTTGAAAAGGAGGGCCCCTCAGCAGTGCTCATTCAGGTGAGGGAGTATCTGAAAAGGACAGTCTCAGAGGACGGTTCTGTGGTGGGATGCAGGAAGGACAGGTGTGGGGATCCCTGAGAACCAGACAAGTTAAGTTTGAACTTCAGGGCCCCATCATCAACTTGGGGGCAAAAATATGAGGTAAGGAAGACTTGATTTGAAAATGATCATCAACTATCATTACTTTTTAAACCTGAAGCTCATTTTCTTTAAGAGGATAACTGGTTATTTTATGAGTCAAAGCTAGAAAACACTGTCATTACTTACAATCACCCAAAATAGTAACCCAAAGTAGCATTTCTAAGCTGATCCTCCACTTTACTCACCATACCTGGCCCCAAGTGACTCCTGCTTCCCCAAATCAAATTCCCTCTTAGCCAGAAAAGATTCCTAGGATTACTGAGAAGAATGAGTCACAGCCTCGAAAGGAGATTCAAAAGACAAGTTCCAAAAATATTTTGAGGCACAGCAGCATTACCGGAAAGGGTGTTCGGGCTCCTGTGAAGAGGACTTGGAAGGTGAGCCCAACTCACTTCAGGATAGAAGCAGCTCTGCCATGTGTGAAATTCACCCTGTTACTCTTCAGCTGCACATCACAAGGAACCTTCCTGCTGTTTTATTTTTAGGCAGAGTCTTGCTATACAACCCTAGGCTGGCCTTGAACGCTGTCTATACCCCAGTCTGGCCTCAAACTCAAGATTCTCCTGCTTCAGCCTCTGAATGCCCAGTCACCTAGCTTTTTATACTAGGCTGTAATGTACATTTGCATATAGTTCATAGTATTATATATTTTCCTCATTAATTTTAAATCCAAGTACTAGTCACACATCTGTTTGAGACTCAGTTCTATTTAAATCATTGTGGAGATAACTAAGCACAAGGACACTCAGAACTTCCTGAACTCTATAAACAGGTGATGTGAAGTTTAAGGGCCAGCATGGACATGGAATCACACTTCCCTGAGGAAGATGTGCCCAGCAGCATCTCTAAAGAATCCACATCGCCTTCCATGTTCTTCAAGACATCTTTTCTAGTTCAGCCCATACTAATCTTCCCAACCTCTACATTTCTACATCATACAACTTAAACATTAGAATTTGGCATTTGATTCTAGAATGTGTTTTTCTAACCAAGCTATGTCTGAGTTTCATATTCCTACTCCAGGTAAGTAATCCAATAATATTTAGACTTTAGAGACTATACCCATTTCTGGAAACTACCTAACTCACTGCTAAATATCATGACATGAAATGGGCAGGCTTAAGAACAAATGACTCAATGAAATAACACACAAAACCAACAACTATCATTACTTTAAAATTGCTCATATTAAGATACTTCTGTGAGCTGGGCAAGGTGGCACATAACTTTAGACCCAGCACTCAGGAGGCAGAGGCAGGGAATTTCTGTGAGATCGAGGCCAGTTTGGTCTTCAAAGTGAGTTCCAGGTAAGCTGGTGCTACAGGGAGACCTTGTCTCAAAAACAAAAACAAAATGACCACCCCCAAACCCCAAGCAACGATGACAAATGATACTCCCTTGAATATTCTGCACTTCCTTTACTGGGGCAAACTGCCGGTAGTTAATAAATGTTGCACTACAATGATGGGCTTGAATCAGGGAAGGAAGAAAAATTCTGTCCTCTGAGATATTTTATCTTTTCAATATATAAAATTTGTGAAAAACAAGCCTATTATGCTGGATAACCATTATCTGGCATTATTAAAGAACTAGATGTTCTATTGTAAGATAAATTAATAAAGTACTTAAATTTTAGTTCTTTCTTTCCTTTCATTTTTAATCTTTATTTTCTTTTAAATCTGATTTTGGATTTGGGCTGTATAAGGTTGGAATTTAGTTAATGTCTTTGGATAGGCTATCAGGGAATCTTAGAGGACTCTTTTATTAAAGTATTTATTGAGGGGGCTGGAGAGGCAACTCATCGGTTAAAAGCACTGACTGCTCTTGCAAAAGACCTGGGTTTGAATCCTAGCACCCACATGGTGGCTAACAACCATCTATAACTCCAGTTCCAGAGGAGTCAGTGCCCTTTTTTGGGCATGGCGCTCTTACATACGTGCAGACAATACACTAAAACACATAAAAAATAAATAAAATATTTAATAAGTACTTATTGAGATTTTCTATGGACCAAGTACTATGGACAAGGAATAAAATGCTTCTCACAAAGTTGCAATCTAGCTGGCAAGGCAGGGCCACACTCAGATAACTCACTGGAGTATGAGCAAGCCAAGAAAACTGGAAACAGGATACTGGGGAATGTAAGCAGGATGATCAGAGGTATACACCACACACAAACGTGTGTCATCTTTGGAAATGTCTAGCATGCTGCTGAGACTCAAGGACCTATGGGGAAGAACAGAAGGTAAGATAGGAGGGATAGAAGAGGGCTAAGCCATATGGTGAAGGGTCTTAAGTGTGTTGTTACAAACTTTCTATGTTAGCTGTGAAATGATCATATATGAAATTTAGAAAACTATCTTAAACAGAAAATGGATTGTCATAAGAAGGGAAAAACAGGTAGAAAGATCCATGACCAGGTTACTTCAACAGTCTATTGAGAAGGTGAGAGTGGAACAGCCCAGTGGGAGAGAAGACTTAAAGGAAGAGAGGGATTTGCACAGTTTGGCAGTAGACTAGGGAGGGCTTTCTTTGCTGACTGGCTGAGAGTCAGAAAAAGGAAGGGTTAAGGAGGACTCTGGCTTGAAGCTCAGGTAACCGGGTAGAGCTTGATATTATCAATAAGGCAGGTAGTAAATAGAATTTATTTTAGTCCTAGTGAATTTGAGGTATGAGGAAAGCATCGAGGTGGAAACATCAGGTATGGATTGCTTATCTGGGGTTTGGGAGGTGAGGAGGGGGATCTAAGCTAAATACATGGACTTAGGGAAATCAGCAGCATTTCAGCTACAGCTGAAGGCCATGATGAGGTGGAGGTGACAATTATATAGGAAAGAAGGATTCCTAACCCTCCATTGTACAACATATGGTGTACAAACAGAAAAGAATCCCCAAATCTTTGCATTTGTAGTCAGAGGCTGTGTTAGTCAGTTTTCTGTCACTGTGACAAAATACCGGAGAAAAACAACTTAAGGGAGGTCATTTTGGTTTATGTTTTCAGAGGCTGTAGTTCATGGTCACTTGGCTCTGTGTTTCTGGATCTGTGGTGAGGCAGAATATCACAGTGGAGAGGTATGGTGGAAGAAAGCTGCTCACCTCAATGAGGAGAGAAAGCAAAGAAATTCAGGAAAGGACTGGGGCCAAGATATACCCTTCAAAGGCATGTCCCACTTTAAAACTATTCAAGGAAATCTGCTAAGTTTTAATGAAAGAAGCTCAAAAGTGTTACTTTAAATGTTTGAGCTCTAATGGGTCAACCTTTGTTTCAAAACTGGTACAGTCTGATGTAGAGTTGAGCTTCTAGCTC